AATTCATGCAGATAGAGGGTTAATGCACGTCACTTTGTACTGTTAGTCACTAAAGGGTTAACAGTACACCGCGTTTTATCAAATTACCTCCCTGTTTTTCAGCAAAGTAGCTTACTTCCGATAATTAGTCGCACCGGAAATACATCAGGCTTAAAAAACATTTTCCTTACGCAGGGTGAAGATTACCCCCGATAACAGACACAATTTGATGGACAAATTAACAATAAGAAAATTGTTATAAATTTAGCTAATAATTATGAGAAAAAACTCTACATCTAAATAAGAAATACATAAATGTACATTTAGCTAAAAATGTGTTGTTTTTTAACTTTCTCGTATATACGAAGTATAGAGAAAGTCTTGTAATCGTGCAAAAAAAAAAAATCGAGATTTTTGGAACTCTCGACGTTTTACACCTCACTGATACGGAAAAACATAATTTTGCAATCTTGTCCGTATGTCTGTGTATGTCTGTGTGTGTCTGTCTGTCTGTGTGTGTGTGTGTGTGTGTGTGTGTGTGTGTGTGTGTGTGTGTGTGTGTGTGTGTGTGTGTGTGTGTGTGTGTGTGTGTGTGTGTGTGTGTGTGTGTGTGTGTGTGTGTGTGTGTGTGTGTGTGTGTGTGTGTGTGTGTGTGTGTGTGTGTGTGTGTGTGTGTGTGTGTGTGTGTGTGTGTGTGTGTGTGTGTGTGTGTGTGTGTGTGTGTGTGTGTGTGTGTGTGTGTGTGTGTGTGTGTGTGTGTGTGTGTGTGTGTGTGTGTGTGTGTGTGTGTGTGTGTGTGTGTGTGTGTGTGTGTGTGTGTGTGTGTGTGTGTGTGTGTGTGTGTGTGTGTGTGTGTGTGTGTGTGTGTGTGTGTGTGTGTGTGTGTGTGTGTGTGTGTGTGTGTGTGTGTGTGTGTGTGTGTGTGTGTGTGTGTGTGTGTGTGTGTGTGTGTGTGTGTGTGTGTGTGTGTGTGTGTGTGTGTGTGTGTGTGTGTGTGTGTGTGTGTGTGTGTGTGTGTGTGTGTGTGTGTGTGTGTAAACACGATAACTTCAGTACCGTTACAGCTAGATTGATGAAATTTCATATATAAGTATTTTATCAAAATCGTAGATCCGTATCAACTTTTGAGCGATTTTCGATGACCGGAAGTGGTACTTTTTCTACTTTGAATTTTTCAAAAGCCTATAACTTGAGTACTATTTCAGATAGATAAATGAAATTTCACATGTAAGTAAAATATCTAATTCTCTACCTTCTGTCAAATTTTGAGTAATTCCCGTTGACCGGAAGTACTAATTTACGCTATTTCCGATTTCTCAAAAAACACATGTAAATTTTTAAAGTACAAATAATATTGCGCACTATTATGCACATCTTTATTTGGCGTTCACTTGGTGCGCAATTCTTTTTTTTTCTACGAGATTTTATTCTTTTTTAAAAAGTTTAAGTATTTAAAATGGATTAAAATTCATGTCTATATCCCGAGGTTTTTTTTATATAAGAATATGCGAGAAAGTTTAGGGGAGATTACTCCCGGTTTATTTCTACGAGATTTTATTCTATTTTAAAAAAGTTAAAGTATTTAAAATGGATTATAATTCATGTCTATATCCCGAGTTCCCGGTTTATTTTTTTTTTATTTCCTTCAATAACCTTTGATGAACCAAGAAAAAGAAGATAAGGTGAGATGTTTGAATAGTGTAATGCAGAAAAAAAGGCAAAGTTCCCGTTTCAAACCTAACGATCCATAGAGCAGATGCAGTAGAGTTCACGTCTCTTGACCTCGGCATATGAAGGATTGATCTGGTAACCACTGTGTCCAGCAACATTTACGTGGGTCAGGTACCCATCAAAGCTGGGTGGACTCAGGGACGTACAGAAGTCCCGAGTCCGGACTAAGATCCGATCTCAAAACCTTTGTGCTAGCGGTCGTGCGCTCTACCATTCGACCACATATATTATATCATCATGGATTATAATACAACGTACCAAAACTACATAGATATGATGTGGTTAGTGCCAATGGATTGTTATAGAGTATAAAAAGTATGAAATCGGTAGTTGGTAAAGTTTATGCACACCTTGTGTGGTGCATGCGAGTTTAATAAATACGTGTTAACTTGGACTAAATCAGCATTTACTTAAAATTTAAGAGTATGTGTATGTGTATGTGTACGTGTACGTGTACGTGTACGTGTACGTGTACGTGTACGTGTACGTGTACGTGTACGTGTACGTGTACGTGTACGTGTACGTGTACGTGTACGTGTACGTGTACGTGTACGTGTACGTGTACGTGTACGTGTACGTGTACGTGTACGTGTACGTGTACGTGTACGTGTACGGGTACGGGCACGGGCATGGGCATGGGCATGGGCATGGGCATGGGCATGGGCATGGGCATGGGCATGGGCATGGGCATGGGTATGCGTATGTGTATGTATGTGTGGACTTATTTGGAAACAACTTACATGCTGGAAAAAAAAATTAGTTGGGAAAATGTGGATAAATGTGGGTAGAGGTGGGTAGAGGTGGGTAGATAATTAAGAAATAATAACTATTTCAATGTTTTAAAAGATTAAACGATTTGAATGTCAAAAATGAAATAGTTGTACGTCGAATGTTTGCTACATTTTATTTTGTAAGATCAAAGTTAATAGGGGAGACAACCTTTATCCGTGTTTAAAATATCTAAAAGGTCGTTGTTTCGTAAGACAATATGTAAAACATTAAACCTTTGTCAAAATACCAGTAAACATTATAAGCCTTGTAGAGATCATTGTAAACTTTTTACTTTTTTTTTAAAATTTGAAATAATCATTTGATTCTACTTTAATCAGGTAACTTTTAAATTATTTAAATAAGTAATCCTTTAATAACTGAAAGCTCCACTTAACGATGATTGAATTGCGCATGCAACTGCGATAGAAATTACTGTTTATTCCATACGATTGTTTACCTTCCCGTGTACGAAGTATAGATGAAATATTGTGATAGTGCTAACATAGTTTTGCAATTTGTCCGTATGTCTCTCTGTATGTGTGTGTATGTAAGTGTGTATGTGTATTCTTTTTCTCTCCAACATGTAAGCGTAGGGTGTAGGACAAAAGATCGACATCCAAAAGGCCAACAAGACGAAAGGCCGACACGGACAAAAAGCCGACAGGACATAAGGCCGAAAGGACATAAGGCCGACAGGACATAAGGCCGACAGCCATAAGGCCGACAGCCATAAGGCCGACAAGCATAAAAAATACTAATATCGCAAAATATATGTTACTGCATAGCTGCTATCTTGACAACCATCAAAATAAGGCATGAAATAAGGTGAAACGTTCAAGAGAGGAGACGATACTAGTTGCTATCCTTATTAGGTGAACCATCGGCTCCAAGCGACTGAAGATTACGGGAGTGTCTTAAACACAAAGGATCAACACCTAAATATTGAGAATAGTGGTCACTGCTGTCTTTATTGCTCCTTCTATGTCAACAAGGTGAGACAACCATCAAAGAACCAAGTCAAAAACCGTCGCATCATCGCCCACATGCAACATGGTGGAACGCCAAGAGACAATGCTAGATGCGATCCTTATAAGGTGAACAATGGGGTCCATGCGTCTGGAGAGAACGGGAGTGTACAAAGGATAAACAGGAAAAGTGGTGTCATCAAAATGGTAGATCCGTATCAACTTTTGAGCGATTTCCGATAACCGGAAGTGGTACTTTTTCTACTTTGAATTTTTCAAAAGCCTATAACTTGAGTACTATTTCAGATAGATGAATGAAATTTCACATGTAAGTAAAAGATCTAATTCTCTACCTTCTGTCAAATTTTGACTAATTTCCGTTGACCGGAAGTACTAATTTACGCTATTTCCGATTTCTGAAAAAACGAAAGTAAATGTATAACGTACTAATAATATTCCGCACTACTATGCACATTTTATTTGGCATTCACTGGTGTGCAATTCTTTTTTCTACGAAATTTTATTCTATTTTAAAAAGTTTAAGGTTTTAAAATGGATTAAAATTCATGTCAATATCCCGAGTTCCCATCCCCTGTTTTTTTATATAAGAACATTCGATAAATTTTAGGGGAGATCACTCCCGGTTTATTTAAATTGTATTTGAAATAAGAAATGAAATAACACATTTATTTTTATCAATATCATATCAACTGGAAGAAAACAACTAAGAAACCAAATTTAAACATGACGGTCGGTGATTCTATAAGATAGCGCTGTCCATCACATACAAAATGTCGTGAATGTTGCATGACGTCACAGTGACGTCATAGGGATGGCAAATTGATGTCACGGCGATGTCACATTGATGTGACAATGATGTCACAAATATGTCACAATGATAGGACAGTGACGTCACAGCGATGTCTCATTGATGTCAGGGTGACGTCAAGGTGACGTCACAGTGACGTCAACGTGACCTGCTCCTCCCCATGTCGTGTGTCTGTATCTCCCGACATAGGTCTACATATTGTAGATTTCTTTTAGTTTAGATACTTCAATATTCAAGATTTGAGAGTCTTAAGCCAGCCTACAATAGTACCTGGCATGATTCTAAAGTGGAAGGTTATTGATCATTCTATTCTAAAAGCTTAGACAAGCAAGTGAAATATAATTACTCTTTTCAATCAATGGTGCAGATGAAGTAGAGTTCACCTGTTGACCATATGAGGTCTAGCTACCCTGCTTCAAAGAGAATCTCCAGGATATCGGCCATAAAATGTAGGGACATAGACTCATATCATAAATAACTATGAGGTGCAACAGCTCATATACAAATGACAAGACATAGAGTGTAGTTCAAGTTTTATTCAGCGAACTAAGTTAAAATTTATGTCTATCTAACTTTGCAAATAAAAACATGCACAAAATATACATGAGAAGTAGCGTGCGCATGCGTATTGGTAATAACAAACCTTCTTGAATACATTATCGAAATACGTCTCCTTCAATTTGTTTCAATGATGTTGTTGTGTTTGTCATATATAAATGGTCGTGTTTGTATTTTATATATTATTTGGTCAGTCGACTAAATCTTCATTCAATACTATTTCCGGGTTTGTTCCGATTTCATCTTTTTATTTCGTTTCCCAGTTTTCTTCCGGAACTGAATTTTAAACTCCGCTTGTGTGTAGACTTGGGTACAGCACGTGTATACAATATTGGTCACGTTAACCTCAGAGCTGACCAGCTCATACAAGGAATCTGTGACGTAATTTGACGCGTAGGTTTTAGCCGTCAGCTTGACGTCATCCTCGCTGTACGTCCACGACCCCATCTTGATGACGCAGGTGGAAACGCCGCTGGTGACGTCACACAGGGTCGTGAGCTTGAGGCTGGGCACCCACAGGACGCCCCCGTCAATGTTGACGACGACCAGTTGCGGCACCAACGGTTCAGGGGCGGAGATGGTGTTGTAGAAAGTCAAGTCTGGCAACCACAGGTATTTGGCAGGAACAGTGACCTGTAGACAAAACAGATTTCTTAGGATACCGTCTGTAGAGTCTCAGGCGACAGTAGACCAGAGTTTCTTCCAGGCATCACTTCGGCCGCCCCCCCCCCCTTCCCCCCTGAAGAAACTCGACCGACCCCCGAACGAAAAGGAATTTATATAGAAAACATATACTTTTATAAGTGTCCTCCCCCCCCCCCCCGGGAAATGTTGACCACCCCCCCCCCCCTACGAAAATACCAAGTGCCGCCCCCCCCCCCCTATCAGCCTAGCGCCCGTTGTACCCTTCCTCAACGGGCCATTTTTCTCGTATATATATATATAGGCCTATTTATTTATTTAATTTTTCATCTCTTTATTTATATACGTATATACTTACAGAATGGATGTCGGAAATTCCCTGCTCTGCCCAGCCAAGGGAACGGACATTCCAACGGATATCTTGCCAGACGATCAGTTCCGTCCTCTTGGTCTTGGGATCGGCTTCCAGAATGTTCACCGGATTGAACTGGACTTCCACCTCCAGTGGGCTGTGTCGGTCACGTGGTATGGCATCAGGGTCGGACGTCTTACGGATGTGATTTACAATGTCCGATATACTGGACCAGGCACTGTCCGATGCTTAAGGAGACACAAGGTGGACATACAGTCATCGTAAAGTCTTCAAAGCCTTCAGGAATATTTTTGTTTTCTAAGTATGTGATCAAAGAGTCAGAGGCGTAGCGACCCTTCCCGTCGCCCGGGGACAAACTTTCGATTTGCACCCCCCACCCTCAAACTTTCGATTTGCACCCCCCCTCTCAAACTCTCGATCACTTTTTCCAACCCATTTTGGCGCCCCCTAAGGTCGGCGCACTGGGACAAATGCCCCATCTGCCCCCCCCCCCCATCGCTACGCCTCTGCAAAGAGTGAGAAGAAATGGTTATTAAGTCTGTCATGAACGCCAAATCAAAGAACCAAATCCGAAAAGAGGATCGGCTTGGTTGAGTCGGTAAGGGCTCATAATTGCCAAACCAAACAATTTCAAGTTCGAATCCTCGGGCAGATGAGGCAACATAGCTGGGGACAGAAACTCTTCTAGGAGAGACAACTCCAAAATCAAACAACAGCTGCCTTGTAGTTTGTTCTTGGTTCGACAAAGGCTATGGAAGTAGATCTAAAAAGAAAGAAAGCTATATTCGAAGTCAACGGCCTATGTGGCGCATAACTTAACACTAAATACTTAATTGTGTTAGAGGGAGCACCTACCAAACACTAGAATTTAAAACGAAAAAGAAAACAAATCGAAAAATAAAATTATGTATACATTTTTTATCAAGCGTTATAACAAAATTATTTTGTATTCAAATATTTAACAATCTTTCAGGGTGCCCTTGTGCTACGAATGTAGTTTACCAATCGAAAAGACATTTCATGATACAGGAGTAAGAGATTTTAGACAACCCTCCAAAAGGCGCAACTACAAGCACTCTCTAAATCATATCATATGTTTCATATACCATAGCTGGTGAAAACACGAATTTATCATCGACGATCATTTAATTAATTATCTGGCTTTTCTCTTTTAACCGAAATGTTAATGCAATTCAAAATGTAACAAGTGTGTCAGTCAAGGGGGTTCAACGGAATCAAATTAAAAACTTAGTGAAAAATTTTATTCAGTAAACATGTCTGTAATTACATTCAAATCAGTGGCGTAGCGAGGGGGGGGGGGGGGGGCGGGCGGCGGACTGAACCGGGTGACATCATTTATGGGGGGGGGGGGGCGGGGAACACCAAGGCAAAAAATAGTAAAATATATCGAGAAAAATGATAATTCCACTTAATTAAGTGATTAATTCGAGTGTTAAAAAGTCTTTTAAGAGCAAAATCCCGACAAGGGTGGAAGGGGGGGGGGGGGTGCAAATCGAAAGTTTGAGGGGGGGATGCAAATCGAATACTGGAAGCTTGTCCTCGGGCGCCGGGAAGGGTTGCTACGCCTCTGGGGGGGGGGGGCACCATTAAGTGCCACACCGGGTGACACCCGACCTCGCTACGCCACTGATTCATATACATCACCATCTTTTCCGGTGAGTGCCCAATACACACTGGGCAGATAGAGTAGAGTTCATATG